GGCCGCGGCGCCCAGCTGATGCCGGTACCGGGCCGCGGCATAAAAAAGGTTGGGGATCACTGATCTATAGTGTCACTAAAACCAAGCGATCCTCCTCTTAGTGATAAAGTAACTGATAAAGTAACTGATAAAGCCAGATAGCCTCAATCAAAAACTCTTTGTTTTGTTTTGTTTAGCAAAAACCAGAACGAGTAACTACAAGTATGTCAAAAGTGTCCTAGTGATCTGTCCAAACATGGTTATCATGTCTTAAGCTATGATCAATTAAATGAAACCATGTCATTTCAATGGGTGGGCTACACAGGAGACAACCAGACAAAACCTGGAAACATAAACTGAGGATGGCTTGTATACTTCACTCTGACTACATTCAGGTAATTGGCAGTTAGGATCATTGTTCTACCTCAAAAGGATGTTGCATCCCAGAGAGCAACATAAAATTATGAAGCCATGATTGTAAGATTTAAACAGATGGGAATCAAACAGATAAATAACTCCTGCATCAAGACTCACCTGTTTTACATCTGAAAGCTGAAATTACGATGTACAGTAGGATTTCAATTTTGACTAGAAAAGATAAAAAAATAAAAAATGTTCCACGTTAGGCTTGAAAGCAGAGGAGGCTATGGGTAGGAAGGGCAGGTCCATCAAAGCTGCTCTGCTCAGACACTAGTACAATACTACTCACAGTTTGTCTATAGCTGGACCTCTCTTAAGCAGAGCTTTAGCTCTTCCTCCTCATGGTTTAGTCCTTTGCACCTATTGCAAGCCAAGGAGCCATTTAAAAAACAGAAGAAAATCAAGCCACACAGCAATAAAGAAAACAAGCTTGGATGTTGTGGCATGCAAGAGTCTTAGACACAAGGAAATGGGGGAAAAGGCAGGTGTAGTGAATATACATATGCACCTCAATCATTCTTCTTCTAGCTGCTCCTATATTTTTATATACTTTTATGATGGTTCCTTCATTCCTGAGCTACATAAATAGATCTGCTTAGGGATGCCTGAGCCTGTAAACAACAACAAGAAAAATCTCCAAACTGAACATAGGTAAACCCTCCAGTTTTAGAGTTAGCAGCTTGCAGATTGAAAACGGTGGAGAACACAAAAGGACAGTTCTCCCCATTGAGGCAATAAAAATACATGACTGTATTTGCAAGAGAAGAAAATTCAACGTGTGAGAGAACATGTTCATCCAGAAAGTTTTGATTTTGCTTGATGGTTGCTGAAAAGAAGAGTCGGCTCAGTCTTGCGTTTTGTTCCTCAAGAAAAGGAGGCATCACAAGGTAACATAAGCTCGCTGCTTTCCTCCTAAACCATTCTGACGCCTATAGTTTCTTCTCCCATTCAAATTGGTTCTGTTTCAACTTTCTGCCCTTGTAGGCAACTAAAGAAGGTAAGTGACAAGACAAAAGAGCATGGAACAAACTTATTGAGAGATGGGCTTGCAAGTTATTAAAGCAGCTGAAAAGCAGATACAGAAGGAATGGACAAACATCAGTAAACTTATGCAGACAATGAAATCCAATGAGTTGTTCCTGGAAAAATGAATGTAAGCATAGCGTTGGAGTGTTGGAATGGAAAGATGAAAATGGTGGTAGTGAATTGGCACCGTTTATCTCGAGAGATTGATTAGTCATAATTAGCTCAGAAAAGCAATTTCAATTAAATGCCTTGGGCTATGTCAACATTACATAATTGTTTATAAAGTTATGATTCTGCAGTTAGAGTCAGACGTTTTAAGCTGGTACTGTAGCTGACTTTCATGCAATAGAAATTAAGTCATCTGAAGTCACATGTAGAGCTGGTAACATGAAGATTCCTGGTTCAATTTAGCTGATTACAGATCGATTTTTTTTATTTCCAAATCAAACAGGGATGGGTCACAGAATTTTCCAGAGTCAAATATCTTCATTCAACAATTACAGCTGTTGAAAAATAAACTTAAAATATTCCATCAGTCTGGCATCCTTAAAAGTTATCAAACGCTAATCACTTCAAACAACAATAAAAACAAAACCCCAGAACCAAACTCTTCACTTCCTTTTCATTTTCCTGATTGTCAAGGTGAGAAAATGAAGAAAGGAGAAACAAATAGAAAATATACGTGGGTAAAAATCATAAAGGCTGGAGAGAGAAGTCAAGGTATTATTAGCCCAACAAGTAGACCAGATTAAGAAACCAATTTCATATAGGACAGGACTATTCTTATTGCCACAATTATAGTATGAGAATCTTTCAAGTCTAAATGTGCTTCCCCCCCCCACCACACACACATCACCTTATCTAAGATGATTTCTCAAGTTATTTTCTTGTCTTGTACTGAAGCCCTTCTTATTTGATTGCTACCATAGTAGCAATTCTTCCTCCTGTTCTTCAGTGACAGGATTTGTCCAAGTGAGCAAACACACATAAGGACATTTAAAAGGAAATAAATATATGTAAAAGGAACATCCATCATTCATCTTTATAATGTATGTGAACCTTCTCTTCTCATCTGCTACCCTGTGACAAGTTTTTCAAGGTTCTTATACCGCAAAGGAAAAAATAAGATGAGAAAAAAAATGATATTTTTTCTCATGGAGTAAAAAATTCTAAGCATGTTCTTAAAAGCAGGACGTTAACTATAAAGCTGTATTTAAACACACACACAACTTTAAATAGATTTACCTTACTATTTGCAGGTGTAAGAGATGACCAAACTGAGCCTGAGGGAGGGGTCAAGTGTGTTAACAGTCTTGAGTCCCTTTGAGTCCGTAAGAGATCTAATACCTGCCTACCTTATTTACCACCAATTTGCTTTGACCATTAGTAGGTCAAATTTTTATAGTGTTAGGATGCAAGAACAAAAAAACATCTGAATCACCTTGATTCCTGATTTTCTGTGCTTAATGGTAGATTGTTAATATGACATTCAGAAAACATGTAAAGTTTGAAGATATGAATGTTTTGTTAAAATATATACCACCAATTTTGAATCTCTTAAAATGAAGAATTTTAGATTCCTCATGTGTGATCTATTGCAAAAAAATATTTTACTTCAGTAGAATAAGCCCTCTGTGCCTGATTTAAAACCCTGGATTGAAATTATGTGTTTACTTATTGTCTATATGAAAATGTCAGGGCGGCACTAAGTACTAAGAGACAGAATATTACGCTGTGAAATCACAACACACATTTTGTCACTTTGACGAAAGATTGACTTGCTAAAGATAACCCTGTATATGAACTGGTTCTTGGTCAGTATAGCTTGATTTGATCAGCAATTAATTTGCTGTTTAGGATCTCAGATTTTTGTTTCATATACATCTATTTCAATACATATTATATTAGATGGTCTATTTTTTTTCTGGACATTAAAAAAAATCTTGCATTTGCTTAATAGAAGATTTTCTCCATTTTGGTCATATATTAGAAACAGAGAAAAGAAATGTGTATTAAACTTAATATTAACACCTTAATATTGATTCTCCTTGAAATTCTTGAAAAGTAATTTCTTAGGCTTGTATGAGGCCAAATTTTCTAATGAGCAATACTGTGTACACACGAAATTATTTTTATGCTGGATATATTCTTATAATGCAGGGCAGAAAATATGCCAAATTAATCACGTGTTCTTTAATCAGAAAATATGATGTGACCCAATAACAAACCCTTTTGTTAAATAAGCAAAAGGAGGCCTCCAGAAAATAATGTGTCAACGTACATTAAAAAAAAAACCAATGGCATAAAAAAAGAAAAAGAATATCAGAAACTTACTGAGTGTAAGCTTTCATTTTCCCGAAGACAAGCTGTTTGGAGTTCTGATTTCAGAGTTGCAATGTGATGCCGATGGGATGTTATTTCTCGTTCTAATGCAGAGACTCTTGAGCATGCAAACTGATAGACATCTATGAAACTTATAATCATCGCCTTGAAGGAAAAGCAAAAGGAATGATTATACTTCTGTATAAAAGACGTGCCATCTTTGCTGAGTTATATGTTTTTGAAAAGGAACTTTGTGTATGTGTGTGTGTGTGTGTGTGTGTGTGTGTGTATAAACATATATACAAGCACTAAACCCAAATGCTGTCCCAAACAGAAAAATTATTATTTTAGAATAGACCATATTGTATGCTTTTTTTTGTATGCCAAAATTACAAACGGTATGTTGCGATTCAGTTGTTTAAATAAACACTGTGCTTTGATTTGTACATAAAGCTTTATTGGTTCTATTTAAACTCATCCCTCGGTTAATTTTATTCAGCCAAGCTGAGAATACCATCAGAGGTTAAGTATGAACATGCTGAAAATGAACGGAGTTGCTAATTCTCCCACCTCACATTTAAAAGGAATTGGATTTAATTTGGCATGGAACTTAAAGAAAGTAGCAGACCTTTGAAAATAAATAATCTGATTACAATATAGCTGGGAAAATAATTCTCTTCAGATATACAGAAGAAGAATGTCCCAGCAGTGTAATATTGATCCGACTGATAATAAAGTTAACAACACAATTGAGTATAAATGATCTGGCAGTGTTGGTAACTTGATATCTGACCCAAATAGCATAACAGTGCTGGGATTACTGGAGTTCTTTACAACTGGTTAATCACTTTTTTTTTTAGGTTATAGCTTCCTTCTGAAGTGACCTGCACTGATTTCTCAAATGTAAGAACAGCATTCAAGCTGATTTTTTTTTTTAAAAAAAAAAACCTCTTTACTGAATAAATGGAAGATTGTTAGCCATATTTTCTCAAATAAAACAACTCAGGGTTTGAGAATGACCAGGCTGGAAAACATAAATAGTCCTCTTTAAGATATCAAGTTCATCCATAGGTGTTTTTGGAACTGTTTAAAGATTCAAAACTTAACTCGTGTGGACTTTAAAAAAAAAAAGAATATTTCTGCAGACGTGTATTAGCAAATTGCACTGTTTATGCATTTCTGCCATTATTCGCGTCTCCAAATTGTTTTATGCCCGATTACAGGTATGCCTCCATTTACGACCGCAATTTCTGTTGCTGAGCGAAACATCTGTTAAGTGAACTAGGCCCAATTTTATGACCTTTCTTGCCACAGTTTGTTAAGTGAATCATTGTTAATTTGGACCCCTCATTGACTTTACTTGTCAAAAGGTGGATCCTATGACCCCAGGACATTGCAACCGTCATGAAGATGAACCAGTTGTCAAGCATCCAAATTTTGATCAGGTGACCATGGGGATGCTACAATGGTTGTAAGTGTGAAAAACGGCCATAAGTCACTTTTTTCAGAGCCGTTGTAACTTTGGACAGTCACTAAACAAACTGTTGCTAAGTCGAGGACTACCTGTATAACCAAAATCCCAAATGTACTATTCTTGTTAAAGCTGAAATGAAAGCAGCTTGCAGAGGCACCACATTTAATACATTCTGCCATTGCTACTAAATGGAAATCAAACGAAGAGTTTTCACACAAGATAGCAATGAGTGTGCGTTTCAAAGGCATCATTTGTGCATGAGGTCAATGCATGTGGCAAAGAGCTGTAAAGTAAGTGGACTAATATATACTCAACAATACAGCAAGGTTTTTTTCCACCAATTTAAATGAAATGCTCATAGATAACATCTAACACAAGGACGATACATAATTTAAAATACTTTATCTCAAGGTTTAAGTATATTCATGAATCATGTAAAAATAAATAAGCATTTGCTATGTTTCTTTTTTTCTTTCTCTATGAGATGAATCTTTCTTTTTTTACCCATAAAAGGTGAAAATTAGGGTTTTATACTGCGCAATCAACAAAAAGTTATACAAAAGTCTAAAGCGCTAAGTGTAACACTTTAATGCAATAATAATAATAAAAAACCCTATAGCTATTATGAATCTTGTAATGATCCCGTTTAATCTCCCAAGCGAAACTTCAACAGGGCTATATACATTTTAATTTGGACAAGTTCTTTGAGGTAACATTTCCTTGTTTCCCAAAAGGAACCATGGAATTTTCAGTATCAAGTGCTCAGTGCCTCATATTTAAATCTCAGTGGGAAGATGGTATTTCCAGTAGCCCACTGTATTTATTAGTGTGCTGCCAAGAACTGATTTATTGCTGAGTCAGCATAAAATATCCTGGGGGATAATTAAGAAAAATCAAGGTTTCTGTTTAGGAAAAAGAGAAAAGTCCTTTACTACAGACTATGGGCCAAAGAGTGTATAGAACCTGTAATACAAAGCTCTACTTTAGTTCTGTCAATATACCACACAACAAACTCGTGAAAATTAATTTTAGTCGGTCCATTAATTGTACAATGAAGGTGATATATCTGCATAAAGCTCCTTATGATGATGAAAAAAACAATGAAGATTTTCTGTGTTTTAAAGTTCACTGGCCATTGTCTCCAAACAACAGAGATTAATATTTTTTTACCACATTATTTATAACTAGCGTTTATTTGGAATTAAATGGTGGGGCATAATTCTGATGTGGAGTTCAGTGGCCAGAGTAATTCTACGTGCAGATAGTTCTCTATATAATGGAAAAAATGTTTTCCTAGGAGTCATACAAGCATTCTACCTAAAACGTATTAAACTTTTGTATTGGGGAGGGGGGGAGAGAATGAACCCCAAGTAATTTCTAGCTAATTTCTCTTCTGAAGTACAAGAGCAAAATAAAATTACTGTTTTGACCTTCCATGTTTGCAGGTGGAGACCCATCAAAATTAGCACAGAGAGGGGACTTGACTATCAATGTTCAATCTTTTATCTTAAATAAATACTAAGCAAATTCTTCATTCTACTGAACAATGGGAGAGGAATAGCTCACAAATTGTTCAGGCTTGCACATCATTCTTTTACACTGCCTACAGATACTTCTGCAGTGAATTCATTTATATACGGATCTTGGTTTAAGTGCATTATTGTGGACTTCAAAAGGATCCATAACCAAAACAATGTCAATTCACGTAGTATATGTATCACCTATTCATAAAGCTTCTTCTTGCATGGTCATTTCCATGGAGTTTTTCATGTCTGTGTAAGATGATTGGTGATAATGAGATGATGATGATGATTTCTGTCTGACTCTATTGATTTTTAATGAATTTGTTATGACATTCTGAATACAGTAATCTTTAGGAACAATTTTTTAGGATCTCCGAAAGTGCACAGTAAGAAGGATGAGATGGGAAATCCTCCATAGAACATAAAACCGTGAACCTACATACTGATTTCACAATTTAATTGAAACAGTTGTCTCAAAAGGAATATAATGTCATAAGTATGCTATTCGTTGATTTTTTTTTTCCTGAAGCAATATGGCTACAGGAAAACTAACCAAAAAACATGTGATACTAGCCTACCTCGTTTTAAATAACAGAAAAAGTTGTACCAGTTATCATAACCTTTATTAAAAAGCAGCTGAGTATTACCAGGTATTACATAGCAAGCAGGTTTTACAACCCACAAACATTCACATGGCACATTAATTTTAAAATCAAGATGCTATCCAGACTAAAGACCGTTCAAAGAATGCCAATGGAGAATGAAATAGAGCCAAGGCTAAAGAATTTTAATTTTAAGCATTAGGAAGCCACTTTAAATTGAAATGCAGGATGTAGGTTAATAACATTTAAAACATACATACAGCTGCCAATTTTACAGTAGAAACATAACAAACTATTCAGGAGAAACCAAACGAATAAGAGAGAGAAAAATCTATTTCCAGAGTGATTTTCATCCTGTCCTTTTGCCTTCTTACCTTCTAATTATACATTGGTTAAGAATATATAAACTTCTTGTGGCAATAGTAAGCATGGTCATAACACAAGTGATTCCTAATGAATTTGCCAACTGAAGAAAATGCCCATTGGCAAAACCAACTTTCAAATATAATCACTTGCCAAATATATACAATAATATAGTAGTTTCACTTTCCAAAAGAAATACCAATGGAATTCCTGTGAGCATGGGAACTTGTAACAGAAAGAAAGAAATATTTAAGTAGAGAAAAAGGAATCATGATTTCCAAATGTTTCCAGAGCAAACATTTGTTTATATGTAATCATGAAAATATATAAATAGAAATGGAGAAAAAGATAAAAGAAAAAGTGCAAAAACAATACAGATGGAAAAAAGAAAAATACTTCCAATTTTTATAGTAGTTACAAGCAAATTTATTAGCTCTCCTCCATATTTAAGATTATATTACATGGTTCCCTTCTTCCCGTTTTAATGAGAAAATTTATAAATCACCAATACATTTTTTCTATTTTTAGCAAAAAAAATATCCAAGAGGGTTCACTCTTTTATAAGACTACTCTCCAAATATTTATGTAATGTGTATATGAGTGCATGCACTTATGTGTTTAGATAAGAGAGAGAAAAAGAACAAATCTTTAATATAAAGGTATCATGTTAAGAGTTGATTCTGTTACTAATTTGTAAAACAGGTCAAGAAAGTTGAAGACCAGATAGATATATAGGCAGACAGATTTTTGTCCAGATAAAGTTGTATCCATGTAAGAAAGCAAAAAATAAAAACAAAATCTCCAAGCTAGCTGGTTCATATAAAATTATATCATAAAGGGAAAAATAAGGTAATGCAGAAATTAAAACCATACACAATCTTGTTGCTGAGTTGTTGCTGAATACTTCATTACTTGTAAAGAAAAAAGAAGATATATCCAAATTAATATTTATCTTTTGGGCTTTCAGCTTTCAGGAAACTTCTGAATATTAGTATGATATAAGTTAATCTCAGAGTTAATATGTATATGAAGACTATACATTATTAAATTAAATACTAAATATGAGCCAACATTATGTAGCAGCAGCCAAAAAAGCCAATGCAATCCTCGGATGCATTAATAGACAGATAGAACTAAGATAACATGAAGTATGTGATCATATTAAGGCTTTATAGAGTGGTACTAATAGTACCACTCTATAAA